GTACCAACTTAGCTAAACTTCTAACCTGTGTCAGATGGAAAGGATTAAGAAGGAGACTTTGCTGTCAGACATACTTTGAGACTAACACATTGGGGGAAGGAGTAAAGCGGAGAAGGAATCAAATCTACAAATTAAACCCTGACCCCTACTCGGTGCCTTGCCATTCTCTGAACGGCTCACCCAGTGTCCCTTCACGGTTGATCTTTAATGCCTATAGTTACTGTAGGAATACTTAGGAATGGAACTTTCCTCCAACTGAACCAAGTTATTTCATCTCCACCAGGACCCACAAAGCATGCAAGACTTTTTATCTCCAGTCACAATGAGAAGGGCAGCATTGCCAGGGTGCCACACCAATGCCACAACACAATGCCTCTCCTGGGGGACAAACAGTTCTCCCCCTAATCTAGCAGTCCTACTCATCCTTCGGGGGACAGCTCTGCTACCACTAATAGAAAACTGCCCTTACTCCTAGACTGAGTGTGTCCCTCACCGCCTGTATGACACTTCGCATAGGCTCTAATATTAGGACTCAACACACAACTGCAATTATCTGTGCATTCTTCCTTTTCCTTCCAATAAATATGTTTAACTTCTGTTTATATCTCCAGTACCTAACATAAACAGCATTTGTCTTCTCAGTCTGTTGTAGGGAGCGGAGGAAGCTCTGAACAAATGTGTATTTTGATGTGGGAAGGCCACATCAAGCACCCGAAGACCAGCTGGCCCATGGGAAATTGGCAAAGTCATTGCCCATATGGCCAGGCTTAAGAGAAATGGCAAAGCTTTTCGGGACTCCCAATATGAGTGTTTACGAAGGATGGATCAGTGTGGGCAAGACTAATAACTATGGCATTCTCCTCCTGGATGGTACTGAAGCCATCTCTCCTCCAGAGACCTCCCACTGAGATCAGCTAACCACTCCCCCATGCTATACCTAATAATGAGGTTCCAGGTTTTGGGGGGGGTGGCTGGGGTAGGAATAGGAGAACCTCCCCTGATCCCAGCTTCACTGTATGTGTGTCACTTCTTCATTCCCTCAGAGCCCTTAGTGAAGGTTCCAGTACCCAGGCTGCACAGGGCCAGGCAGGCTGTCCAGTTGAAATACTGGATTGGTAGTTTAAACCAAAATATATTGCCCCAAACGTCTGAATATGAAAAGTTCTGGATCAGAACCGCTCCTTGATCTGCAAACGGCCCCCTCCTCTCCGTGTCCTCCTGTGGTCTGGCCTCCGCACATAGGCATGCATCCTAGTGACTCTGTGTGTGCTCAAATCACCTCTTCTGAGAACCCAATCCCTCCTAGCAGGACTTTCCCAACAGCCTCATTTTAACTTGTTTCCATCCTTTAAAGCTTTTTAACACAGCGTTAAGACTTCAAAAGATGAATCTAGGGAGGAAGGAAGATAACTTGGTCCATAACACAGGATTAGGAACAAGGTGTCCAATCAGCACACACTGGCCTGGAAGAACCAGTGTGGACTAGGAAAGATTGTTTGCAGGTACGTTTTCATTCTCCTTTGCTTGCCTGGTCCGTTTGCTTTCATGAGTTCCTACAAGTGACAAAGCTCACACAGGAAGTAAATGAACCCTTCAGGTTCTTTGGGCAAGGATCATCTAGATAAAAAATGGCATACCCAACTGCTTTTGTAAAGGCACAAATAAGAACACGGGGGAAGGGGGGCAAGGTAGGCAGCCTCAGGCCATAACACTCAGATCCCCCTCACTACTCCTGAGCTCCCCCACCACCACCGAGCTCCAGAGAGCACCAATGGAAGAAGCTAAGAGATCAAATTGTGTACAAAATGCAAATGTTTAGTGAGAACTGTAAGGCATCACATAAATGATGGTGGCTATTGCATGAAATAAAAAGTTTTCTCAGCACCTTACCGATAACTGGGTATAAAGAATACCATGAATAAGGCCACTGACGAGCCAGCTCAGCAGGAAAAAATATTGGACTGCCAAGTCTGATGCCTTGAAATAACAGAATTAGATGCCCTAAACCCACATGGTGGAAAGAAACAACCAACTGCTTCAAGCTGTCGTCTGACCCCACAAGAGGACTTAGCAATGGGGACACATGCATACGTACACACAGAGACACAAAATAAACAAATATATACACATCTGTATACATACATACATTAATTTTAAAAAAAAGAACACCATGCCAGAAGACCCAGAAACATAGAAAAAGAGTGTAGAATAAGAAAAGGATTTTTTTTTTACTATGATGGCAACCTATATCCCTCGCTCTGTAATATCAGCAGAAGGAACACAAACCACTTAAGACAATTTTCAGATCACAGCCAAATCTGATACACTCTGTCTCCTCAGGTACAGAACCACTGAGAAATGCTATCATTTCACTTTCTTGAATATATACTAGTGAGCACAAAGAAGCCTGAGAAATTGAGGAATAATTGACGTTACACAGACAGGCCTCACATTTTGGGATATCAAAGCCTGAACAGGAAACAGGTGCCAAAGCCATTTATTTCTGTAAGATGCAAAACGCAAAGTCCTTGCCTCATGAGCCCATAGCAGGGCATAGCAGAGCCCTACAACATGCCAGGAACAATCCCAGCTCACATCTACTTCTCCCTGGGATTGGAAATGACACTCCTTGTGGCCTTCACAGGTGTCCCAGTCTGTACAACAACTTCCATGGCCACCCTGCTGCAGTACCACAGGTCCACTGAGAAACAGCTGTATATTTTTTTCAGGACCAGTGGAACATGAAGCAGGAGGACCCCCTGTTCAAAAGTCAGGGAGGAAAAGGCTAGCAAAGGTGCAGAAATGCAGGACTGCTTCTCTTTCATGAGCAAGAGGGTCTTGCTCTATTGCTCCACTGACGTCACACGCAAAGCCAACGTGGAAGGATAACACTGGTAAGAATTTCAAGATGGTGGAGGCCAGACCTTAAACCAAGTAAGGACCATTCCGCGCACAAAGCCTTAAGTCACAGGGATGCACACATATACACACGGGTGTGCACAGGACACACACCTGAAAGTACCCTGTGTCTCCTATCCCAGTCCAATCATTCTATAATCCTGCACCATGCCATGGACTGAAAAGCTGAAGCAAGCCACACCAACTGTTGCCCACACTGGGACATTAGACATTGGCTCTTAGTTCTACGGAGCCACTAATCTGGACATGGTTTCCAGTGTTTCTCATGAAGCACAAACTTTCATTTCCCAGGCAAAAACAAGAAGGAAAATTCAAGCACATTAGGTCACTCTCTGCCTTCTTATCTATACAGAATTAAAGACGAAAACGTCTTCTCTTTTTACCCCCTTAAATGCTTTCTTAAATGTGCCAGTGATGTCTTGACAAAACAGTCACCAAGTGAGACTATTCAGTCATATTCTACCACAAGAGTCCTTACTATTACAAAACTCCAATATGCCATGTCAATTTTATAAAATTGGCAGCACATTTATTTCTTTTTTGATTTTCTGAGACAGGGCTTCTCTGGGAAACCCTGGCTGACCTGAAATTCACTCTGTAGACAGACTGGCTTCGAACTCATATTAGCCTCTCTCTGCCTGCCAAGTGCTGGGACTAAGAGCCTGTGCCACTATGCCCGGTGAAAACTGGCATTTTAAATAAAAATCAACAAGTCAGTTTTTGAGACAGGGCCGAATTCTTGCCTATTTCTGCAATTTAGCATTGGCAGTCTCCCTATCCATCTATTTTCAGAAAGGCTGCCTCTAAGAAATGACTCACTTCACATCCAAAGACTTAGTTCCCAACAAAGTTCCATGAAAGTCAAATTTGAAGCCACTAAAAGTTAAACCTTCCTAAAACATGCTCTTGTCTGTAATCGCTATATGATCACATACAGTGATCCTACCCATCACCAGCTATCCTGGTATTCTTTAACACGCGTGCCTCCTCAAAGAATGTAGACCCCACCCCCAGGCTTGGAGAAACTGAATTTGAGAGGTCAACCTGTGTGTTTTGCATCTTCCGAGACATTGTTCTTTCCTTCCTGACACAGCTGAGTGAATTTCTCCACGGTGACTGCAAGCACAAACGTTATAGATTGAACCAATCTCGGGAGGAAGTTCGGTATTTGAAACATTTCTCTGAGAACCTAGGGGGTGTGGAACACAGCTATGAAAGGGGGAAGTGTGAGGGTCTGGCAGGGTTTGGGAAGCTAACCCCTTCCTGGAAGGATGCCCTCTCAGTTATCAGGATGCCACAGGACTGACTGTAAATTTCTTTCTCCCAGTTAGCGAAGAAAATTCCGCCTTTACGTGACGTCTCAGGAGTTCAGATTCCCACAGTTTCTCCTCTCCTGTCTGAAACGGAATGAAATGCTTTTGGAACAGAATTCCAGTGACCTGGAAACACCTCCTGCTCAGTCTACGAAATCCTGAAGTTGTCAGACACAAAGCGAGTTTTAGGACCCGGCTCTCAAGGGGGTCGGTGTGCACAGGGGGACCGGGAACCAAGAGTAGGGCAGATTCAAACCAGGAGAAAGGAGATTGGAGGGAGGAAGGACGGGCGCGCACATGTGGCTTTAATATGCAACAGCTGCCAGGGATGGTGACCCTGCTGCTCTTTCTCCTTCACCACCACCCTCAGAATCCAACGTTTCAATGATTATACCTAAAGGGACCTCACTGCTGCTGATCTAATGACCGAGTCCGGCTTCACCACGTTCAAGGACTTTTTAAACTGTATGTACCTGAAGATAGCAAATGTAAGCAGGAAACCAAGGCTTTTAAACAAAATATGAGTGGCGAGAAAGGGAGAATAAAGAAAATGATACCATGAAATTAGCCCTGGGAGATGGATCAAGAAAATTGAACGCAGATGGGACAGGTTAACTTCTCCCACGCGAGTTCTTCATGGTCTTGGCCACTCTGTGCATGTTCAGCCACGAGCCCATCCCTGGGGTCCCCGCGCTACCCATACGGGTGCCCAGTCCTGGCGCAGACAATGCTCCGGACCTGGTGCCCTGCGTGGGGCCGGTCACTCACCGACACCAGGAACTCCAGCGTGCCCACGTAGTCGCGCTCGGTCTTCTGCAGCTCACTGAGCACGCACACGCGCAGACGAAGCTGCTTGTCCGCGTCCTTGGCACTCTCGTCGCTCATGGTGGCCGGTCGGGCGCGGGGCTGGGGGCAAGTGCGCTGCCCCGCGCCTGCTGCCGCCTCTGCTGCCCGCAAAGTTGCCGCCTCCGCGGAGTCCGAGCGGGACGCGCAGCTTCACATGTTGGCCCGAGGCCGGGGCGTGGGCAGAGGAGGCTGCTCGAGCTGCGACACGCGCGCGGGAGGCGCGGGACTCGGAGCAGGACACTCCCGGGAGAGCCGGATCCCGGCCCGGCCCGCCGCTCTGGCCTCACGCGGCCCCAACCCGAGGGGAGGCGGCTCCGGCAGTCACAGCGGTGACTTGGACATCAATCAAATGCTTCAATCCATGTGACTCCGACCCTTTACCCTTAGCCAAATCTCAGGAAAAAGGAAACACAACCCTGGGGAAGTGTATCGTGCCAGCTAACTAAACACACACACACACACACACACACACACACACACACACACACACACACACACACACACAGAGAGAGGAACGGAACTAATCCGAGGTTCCCAAACCTAGGAGGACACTTGTGAGACAGCTCTGGGGCTGCTCCTGGGAATCCCGCCCATTGTTTAGCTTTAATGTGTTTTGCACCAAGTCTGAAAGCAAAGAAACAAGTCCCCGCGGTTACATAACTGCTTGGGAACAAAAACAACCACAGCATTGACCCTCCCGCGTTTGACAAGGAACACATTGATTTTGGGTTTTAGTTAGTACAAAACAGGTTTGGTTTAAAAAAAAAAAAAAAGCAACCAATATTATTTCACAGGTCAGACAAGCTTTTGTCGAGGCTGGAAATGTCAATTAAAGTGATAAATGAGAAAAGTAGAGGGAAGTGACAGCCCCTGTCCATACATTGATGCCACATAGAACAGGTGGTACTCCGGTTCAGTACTTTTTAATACCACCGTGTGTCTATATTTTTTCAGTGATTTTAAAAGACAGGAGCGCTGAACGGTCATCAGAAGACTGACAGACAGCAGGGAGATAAATGGGGAGGATGCACAGGGGATGATTGACAGGTGATATCTAAAGGTAGATGACAGATGATTGGCAGTTGGCATACAGATGTCATAATCTTCGGTTTTGAAAATGGAAAGACCAAAGCATTTGATTGTAATACTTAAATTTATTGATTTCTCTCTTGGGAACAGAACCAAGACCTATAAATTTAACAAACCAAGTGACCCATTTGCATTTCTATCTAGATATCATCCGCATGTACTTTCAGAGTCATTTTTTTCTACTTAAAACATATTTACACAGCTTACAGTTGATGACATTTAAATAAGTGGAACAAACACTTGTGATGCAATGAAAAGGCAGCCAAGCTCGCTCCAAGAGTCCGCAGCCTGAGCTAAACGAAAGATATTTTCCTTGGTATTTACATGAAAATAATTTCCAGTTCCCCTAAGTCTTTTGCAGGTATGATTGTGACTTTCACCAAACGAAGAGAAATCATGCATGCTTCTTGTGTTAAAGACTCGATATTCCCGTGATGTGAGGGATGCTGATGAAAAAAGGTGGCTTTGCCCCCCTTTTTTTTTTCCATCTGACTATTTAGAGGCAGCCAGGAGCTGAGGGCAAACAAGGTGGGCAGCTTCACACTGTGGCAGAAGAACAAAGGACAAGGCACATTAAAGACCTCCCTCACAGCACCTGGTAAACAATGAACAAAAGAAACCAGAAGGCTCAGGAAATACACACAGTAGCTAGTGGGAAGTTCAAACAGGGTCTACCCTCTCTGTGGGCTACAGGTAGTGAGCACATTTCTTGCTCCCACGTGAAACAATTAAGTAAACAAACAGATTTCTATTCAGTTCTGTGAATGAAGCAGAATGTTTTCTCTTGCCAGCTGTTCCCAGTTAGAAATCACATTGCAATTTTTTTTTTCATCAAGACATTTAGTCTCTGTACAGCCCACTAGAGTGATCAGCTCACTGAGAGCAAAATACTTGAATCTGAATTGTCTCCAAGGTTTATACCCATCCAAGGCTTTTGTCTCTGTTCTACAAACACACCTGGAAGACCCCCATGAAAACTGTGCCCTGCTAAGATCTTAGGAACCCTGAGTGCCAGAAACACTTCTGAGTGTGGGTCACAGCCATTGCACGACACTGACTTGAGGTCCTGTGCAAATGAAGGTTCCTGAGTCTACTCTTCATGGTTTTTTTTTTTTTTTTTTTTTTTGTCTCAGACATTACACCCGATATTTTTTCAGTGAGGGCCACAGATTCTTGGACTTGCTAACATTTGAAATCTACCTTCTACAGACTTAGAGCTGAGTCAGGGAGAGGATCAGGCCCTTAAGAAACTCCACTAAAAGACAAGCCTCAGGAATTGCTTTGTGAACGGAAGCTAACCGAAAGATACATGTTTTAATTGTGTGGCATTTTTATTATCTCAGAAGTGCCCTGAAGAAATGATTATGCTGTTTGTGGTTTCGGCCCCCTTTTCTCCTCCGTCTATGCCTCAGTGTCATTTTTAACTAATGGAGAACTCCAGGACACCTTGGAGTGCATTCTGCCAGCTCTCTTCTGAGAAGACTCTTGCAGAGACCTTGGTAGCCCTGGCTGGAGTCCGCAATTCCTCATCAAAGACTTGAGAGCATAAGAAAACAGGGCTAGAGTATCTGGAAACTTTCACTTTGATGGTAAATAAGGTCTTTCACAGACTCTGAATGTGTTGTGTCCCTTCCCACTTCCTCTATTGAAACTTCAGGCTGTGCCTGCCAGGAAAAGGGAAGCAACAAGCAAGATGATGGACAGGATCCAGTTTTGGGTTGTTGTTTCTTTTTTTTTTTTCCTTGAAATACTAATGAGGTTAAAGTTTTAAATAAAAAAGAGATGGGGGGGGGGAAGAAGATAGAAGTGCCTGAGTTCTGGATTAGTTCAGTCATTAAATTTATTTCATATGCATGAACTTGGGGCAGTTAGAATCTATTAAAAGGTTCAAAGAGCTCAAGGGCAGAGCACAGTGGCCTCTTTTGGTCAGGCCCAGAGAAGGACTGGCCTGAAAAGGTGAAAAATACAGGGCTGCCTCTTTGCAAGAAGACAGCTTTACAGATACATTTCAGGAGGAGGTCATATTTGTCTCTTCGACATTTCAATACTGTTGTCTGTGTAAAAGAATTGTCAACTTAAAAACAAATGAAAAGATTGCTTTACTGCACGATCATCAACTGTTCTTTGATACTTCCTTAAAGACTGTGGTCTCTCATTGATGACTTCACGCCATGTTAACAGATATAATGGAGGTGCATTGATGCACACCTAGCAGACTTGATCAAGAGGTGATTTCTAAGACTATACACTTGATTGCAGTTCATGCTTAATTTCTCAGTTGCTTCCTCTTTAGTTCGTTGATAATTTGGTCAGATCAAACGCACCATACTTTGAAGCATATGATTAGTTCTATCTTAACTCATAGAGCTGATTGAGCAGGTGAATAGCTTAAATGATAAAATATAGTGCTCGTGAGCCATATTTCAATTTCTGATGTAATATTGTGGGACACATAGAACAAACCAAATCTTTGAATGATGGACTTTAGCAAGATTCTGGAGTTCTCTCTAAATGAACTTGATTAAGAACAAGCCACTCTCTTAGCCCAGTCTACGATGCCATTAGAACTCACGTTCTCATTAGGAAAAGCTAACTATTAACATCCCAGTAAACAAGCGACCAATGATCTCTTATTAATCTCAGAACAGCATCATCCTTGCCGTGTCCATCTCCCTACAGAGCCTCTGGTTCACCCCCTAAAAATAGGCCTCTACGCCTTATAGATCTTCAAACTACTCTGCATCTCTCTCCTCCCTCAAAAAAGAAAATGTCTTAAGAGCTCTCCACATTGTCTTTAGTCGAGAAATTAATGCTGCCACACATAAACATACCCGCATCCACATGCCCATAACTGAGACTGTTGCTTTCAAGATAAAAGGCCATTGCACATAGGTGTTATCAATGTAAGGTGGTGGCAAAGGGGGCTTCTCTTGTATATAAATCATGAGGGAAACATTCTAACGTTTGAAAATACATTCTGTTGGTTTGTATTGAAACAATTTTGCTATGTGGCGCAGGCTAGCTTAAAACTCACTATGTAGCCCCAGATGGTCTCAAACTCTTGATCCTCTTACCTCAGTCTCCAGAGTGGTGGAAATGATTAGAGGCACACCACAGTATGACCAATCTACATGACTTAAAAGCAGAAACCCTTTCCAGGTGTGATTACAATGGGAAATGCAGCTACGGAGGAACGACACAAGATGCAGCGGTGCTGGCTTTGCAGGTGGGTAAAGGGGACCACAAGCCAAGGACCATGGGTGGCCTCTAGGATTTGGGAGAAACAAGGATCTTACAAAATCTAAGGGAATGTAGCCTTGTTAGCACCTTGATTTTAATGCGTCATGATTTACATTGTCCCTCCAGCCTTCGGAACTGTATAAAGATAAATGTATGTGTATGTTTAATCAATCACTGATTTTTGTTTCGTTGTTTTGTTTTTTCAAGACAAGGTTTCTTGGCAGCTTTGGAGCCTGTCCTGGAACTCACTCTGTAGACCAGGCTGGCCTTGAACTCCCAGAGAACTGCCTGTCTCTGCTCCCAGAGTGCTGGGATTAAAGGCGTGCTATACCATGGCCTGGCTCATTTTTTTTTTGTGGCAATAATTCATTTTCTTCATTCCTTTACCTTCCATTCTTTCTCCAACCCCTGAATGTGGCTTCTCTCCCATTGCTGCCAGGACTGACCTGTCCCTGTCACTTTGTGTCTCTGTTTCTCCTTTCATTGAAGGCTATTCATTCCCTGAGCTATGTGACCTTCCACCCGCTTTTCAGTGTTGTCTCTCACCGGAGAAAACATCCCTTGCTCTGTTTGGTGATTGGAATAAGAATGGTGCCCTCCCCCAAGTTCATAACTTTGATTCTTTAGTCACCAGAGACTAGCAGTACTTGGGAGGGATTAAGCGTCCTACCCTTGTTGGAGTAGGTATGGCCTTGGTGATGGAAGTGTGTCACTTGGGTGGGCTTTGAGATTTCAAAAGTCAAAGCCAGACCCAGTGGCTCTTTTCTTGCTGCCCAAGGATCCAGATGTAGAACTCTCAGCTCCTTCTCCAGTATCATATCTGCCTGCATGCCACTGTGATTCCTACCATGTTGATAGTGTACTAAACCTCTGAAACTGTAAGTAAGTCCCAAATAAATGTTCTCCTTTATAAGAGTTGCCTTGGTCATGGTGTTTTTTCGCAGCAATAGAACAATGGCTAAGACTCTGCTTTCTATGGTCATGACATTGCCCCAGCTTCCCTTTGATCCTCTGACCCTTCCATACCAAGTTCTCCATGGTGTGTTTCTAAAAGTTGATGTTCTCTAGAATTCATTAATTATCTCATTGGCAGGGGTTTCCCCACCAAAAATTAATGGGTCCCT